CGACGCATCCCAAAATCAACTTTAAAAAAACAAAAAGATGACTACAGTGAAATAAATTTTGGTTATTCAACTCGTTCCTTCTAAAAAAAAACATAATTGTTAGTTAATTTTTTATTTAGGTTGATTCATGTCAGTTTGAAGGCTTAATTTAATAAATAATTTAGTAATTTTTGTACTTTTTTTTTTGTTAAATACTTTTAAATCTATTTATTATCTTTTATTTTTATTTCAATTTAATCTAATGTATTAACTTTTTAATAGCAGTTTCACTCCGCTTGATCAAATTGATTTTCAATTATATTTTTTTTGGTGAATTTCTACTTGTTGGAATTAATTTTGAAATAAAATTAATTTTGTAAAGATAATAAGTTCCTTTTCACTCTCTAAGAAACTATAACTTTTATCATATACTACTTTAGTTTTTCTTTTTAACAATTCTCTTTTATATCAAAAATCACAATTATCGACATGTTTTAATAGTTTGCACAATTTGTCGTGAACTGATTTACTGACTAAGATTACTCTTTTAATTTTAATTTAACTTTTCTATCATTTTTTTGCCCCCTAATTAAGAAATCTTTAAGAATTAAAATTGATTTTAAGCATATCTAAAATTTTGTCCTTACTGGGCATAAGCTCGAATTGGGTACAACCTTCTTTCCAAAGCCCCCCCGGGTATTAGCATGCTCCTGCAGGGTGATTGTACTGGGACCATGTTCCTTATATATTAAGCTTCAATAGCTTTTGATGTAAAAAAAAAAAGTTTGTCCTTATCTAATTCATAAATAGATTTCATTTCTAATGCACTAAAATCATCTTAACAAGTGTACTAATCATTCCAAGTAATATAATAATAAAAAAGTGTCGAACCCACAAGGATTGTGTCTAACTAAGTACCAAAATAATTAATCTAAATTTATTTGAACAACCAAAAAGGAAAAAAGCTGTAATTAAAAATAATAAAAAGAAAATAACAAATAAACCTAACCAAGATAGGAGGTACTAAGGCATTGATTTCACCATAATCAATCAATATAAATTCTAAATTAATATACTTTCAAAACCAATTTATTGAGTGTTATTGCATGCGATGACGGATTTCCCTAAATTAATTAATTAGCTTTCTCAAGTCAAGTTAATCCTTCACTAATTTGTTAAATTAATCATATTTCTATATAATTTTAAACAAATTTATAAGCATTAAATTCTATGGAAACCTCTAGCTTAAGAAGGGGGAACTCCTAACTCTCTTCTCTTCCTCCACTACCACATGTGAGCTAATTACCTCTCGATCTTATAATTTAGCACACGGTTTATATTATTATTGGTCTAATCTACACCAATATTTTAAAAATTGGACCGAATCGATCGGTTGAACCGATCAGACCGGTACCCGGTACAATAAACGACTCAAGTTAAGGTTCAGAACCAATATAGTGATTGAACCGTTCAAAACCGGTAAAACCGTTCGAACCGGTACAAACCGTTAAACCGGACGGTTTAAATATTTTGGAAAATTTCCCATAAAGTTGTCACCTGCAGGCTTCGAACACAAGACTTATAGGGCACTTTCGATCAACTTTGCCACTGGAACACGACCTCTTCGATTGAAAAGAATGGCTTAAAATTTTATTTATTTTATGTTTAGGAAGTTTTTCTCTTCTATAATTAACTTTCACATTAAAATTAATATAATGTTAATCTAATTTTTATCTTAAATATATAAATTAAAAATGTAATAAATATAATTTTTTATAATTAATTTATATAAAAATAAAAATTAATGTTTATTTTAATACTATTAACATGTAAAATGATTTTAATTTATTAATTAATTAATTTAAAATTAATCTTTATAATTTTTTATATAAATTAATTAAAAAATTAAGTTAC